TCACAGCAGGCAGAGGGAGGCATTGCTGGGGACAACATGTCTGGTTTCTGGATGTGTGTGTTTGTTCCTCGTGCTTCCAGCTGGACTATGGAGACTCTGAACTTCTTTTGCCAAGTGAGCTCTTGTGGGTGTATTTCAGTTTGGCCTGGTGGGTTAAGTTTGTGTGGTGGACTTAGGAGTGAGGAGAAATTTCCTGACAGTGAGAACAATTAATCAGTGGAACAACTTGCCTCCAGAAGTTGTGAATGCCCCAACACTGGAAGTCTTTAAGAAGATGTTGGATAAACGGTATAGGGTTTCTATAAGATCTCCAAGGTCCCTTCCAACTCCGCTATTGTATTGCACTGTATTGTATTCGTTGGAGCAACTTTCCATTGTTTTATGGATTATTTGGCCATTGCCTTGTGGACTAACCTTGGCCGGCTTGTGGCTGGATTTATTTGGAACAGTTCTGAAGGAATTCCTGGGGAACATTAATAAACTCTCTAAACTCCACTGACATGCATGTGTGTGAATGAGTGGAGTACCACACAGCAGCATATAAATTTAATGAACAAACGAATCAATACATATTTTAAAAGGAAAACCACGTATATAATAAATTGTACTTATATATACCAAATGTCTCGCTGGATGTGGGCTGCTCTTCTTTCTTCTGGACTTTCTGGACAATTGCTGAGGTTGAGGTCTCTTCCTTCTTTGAAGGTACTTTAAACCACTTTCTGTCCTCTTTGTCTTTATTACTGTTTGCGCTTGTCCGTGGCTTAACTCCTGTTTTGTTTTTCGCGGCTGCCACTGCGGCGGCTTTGACCAAAGCTATCCAATCCTTTGAAAAGGGAAGAAAAGAAAACAACCACCTCAAATTAAAATCCAGGTATGAAGAAAACTGATTTTTTTTAAAGGTATCATAAAGGGGAAATTGTTCATGCTGAAGAACATCTGTTTTGAATTTCTATTCTTTCTTGTAAATTGATACTTAAATATATATATATATGACACAAAAAAAGGAAGAAACTAGGATTTTGATGACAGGTTAGTTAATCCTGGGTGCCCAAACTTCCATTCTAGGAATTAAATGCTGTTAAAAAGTCTAGAATGTTCTATGTCTCATTTGGGCCATGCTAATTGTCATGTTTTAGACTAAATAGCTGTTGCTGACGTGTTTAGATCTGCCAAATTGACTTCTAGAAAACCACCGAGAGACAGTGTGATCTAGAGAGAAAACAGAACATTGTAGTTTTCTGAAACTTTCCATTTCTGTATGATAGCTTTCCATACCCCCATTTATTTGTCCTAACAGTTTAAGGTTTGGCAGTGAAAATGTTAGCAATAGCATCAAATGCCTAGAAGGTACTTGTATAAAACTGTCCAGGAAACCTCTATGCCAGATTTGACTATCTGTGTATCAATCTCGATGGCTTTGTTTTGAATCAGGCGGCATTTAGGTTGACTAAATAAATAGAATTATCTATTTAATCAACCCTGCTTTACTTCTTGGGCAGAAATCTTTCCCATTTTTTGAAATGGAAATTGTGGCAACTCTTTGATTCCAAATATTAACAAATATTTTGCTTGCCAAGGTTAACCTTCATGCCAGGAAAAAAAAAATCCTATTAAGGTAACTGTATAATCCTTATAGCACTACTAAACCCATTACTAATTTAGCCCAGATTCTTTGGATGTCTTTCAAAGGAAAATGTCCAGCTGTTTTCCATTATCTTATAAACTTTTATACCCCAAGACGACTTTAAATTGTCTTAACTGCTTTAAAATAGCTACAGAAATCTGAGAATATCTATTGTAATTAAAAATCAAGTCAGAGTTACCCTAATATGTATCGGGTTCTGTTGTTTTGACACCTATGGCTGCTTAAGGACGAACCGTCCATAACTACAGTCCAGGTGGCTAGATTCTGCAGAGCAGCACTGGGAATTCGTCAAAAAGACGAATCCTCCCTAGCTATTTTACACCACAAATATGGCAAACCCTTTGCACTGCTTATTCCTTTTAGTGTTAAACTGACTACAGGCCACATAGTTAGTTTATGGATTGCAATTTTAGCATAATTAGACCATGTATAATTGACAGCCTGGATTTTATCATAGATTTTAGCTGGTATTTATTATTTTATACTAGAGTTTTTAATTGCATTTTTACTGAGTGTTTGGATTTGTTCTGGTCTATGACTGTAATAAACTGAATTGGGACACCATGCTGACAAAGATATACTTTATGGTGATGTAAAGTATATCACAAGTTATGTGAATTCTAATGCACCTTTTAGGATGTTGGTTCTGAAATGCTACATAGATAACACCTGCAGAGATGTCCGTACAACACACATAGCTGTCACTCTGACATATATTGGTACATTCTACAACACGTCAAAAAGTGAACAATAATAATTAGGGACCATGGACATTGACAGAGATCAATATTGTGGATGTGTCAGATGGACATTTGGCCAGATTTTCTTAAGTATGCATATTTTACAAAGCAAAAATCATATTCTATTTTAACTCTGGTCAACAGTTACTCTTCAAGTCAGCCTAGCAGGAGATTTTTCTCATTTGAATTTGCTTTCTGAAGTGTTTGTCCTGCTTTGTCCAAAAGCAGGACTCTTCAAACAATTCATTAGAGTGGGATAAAATGGTAAATGAAGAGAAACCCCATATTTGCAGATGACATGAAATTGAGAGGGAGCACTAAGAAGGCAAAAAACAAAACGATGACCTTGATGGGCTGGAAAAAGGGGTTGGAAGATAATGCAATGTAATCAAGAACAAATGAAGAACCCTACATAGAGGGGGGAACATGAATCAAATGCACAATTAGAAGGTGGAGGACGCAAGGCCGATGATAAGGTTTTGCGTAAAATGTTTTGAAAATGTAATTAATCACTAAATTAATAGGAGTCCCTATGATCTGGATGCAAAAAAAATTCAAAGCCAGGCTGTAATATATTACACTTTCCAAATCATGTAACACAATCACCATATTCAAATACTTGGTCCACTTCTGGACATTTAAGAAAAAGGATTTAGAGACTCTAGAAGAATGATGCTGGGGCAGGGATCTAAGTCTTACAAGGAAACACTCAGAAAATTTAAGTATTCTCAGACTTGATCAAAGATGACAGAAGGGAACATGGCAGCAGAACCAGAAGAGGGAACAGTAGATCAAGAACTTTTCTCTATCATCCTAGAATATATAGCACAGAATTACAGCATTAAACAAAACAAAATTAGCTTCTAGTGGGATGCTAAGAAAACTTTCTGTGATGTGACAATGGAATCCATTACCAAAACAGGTAACTTGATAGTGAAATCAGTTATAAAGAAGGGAATGACTTCTCTTTCATTAGAATGGTGCAGTGGCCTAGAGGTGGAGCTCTTGCCTCACCAACAGGAGGCTGGGAGTTCGATCCTAGGTAGAGGCAGATATGTTTCTCTGTAGGCACAATGAGAATTTATCTGCTGAATAAAGCTCCACATTGGCAACAAGAAGGGCATCTGGCCATTAAAACACTCTGCTAGCTCCATTCAGCTGCCCAGATTCCACCCCGCAAGGGATTTATGGGGTGGTTAAAGGATGACGATGAATGACTTCTCTTTCATTGGATGTTTTCAAATACAGGCAAGGGAGACATCTGTCATGGAAGCTTTATTCAGAATTCCTGTACCAAGCAAATGTTTGAACTGGCTTAACTAAAAAATTCCAACCACAAGATTCTATCATATGTGCATTAAAACCCACACGCGTGTAAAGATATGAACTGCAGGTCTATATTTGCACTCAAGAGTCTGACAAATCTGTATGCATGAAGGAAGAAAATGCATTTTATCTTCTATGGTAAAAGCAATCTTACACAAAGGTTCAGAAAGAAGGAAACTTTTTAATTTCTTCTACATTAACATACAAAGTTATGCCTTCCTAGAAGAAATATTCATCAAACTTGGATGATGGGTCTACTGAATTTCACCTTCTACTTTCTACTATTATCCCATCTATTTTAATCAAGCCAGTAGGACAATGTCTTCTGTGTGTATATAAAACTGCAGATTTACATCCCAAAAACTACATGTATTATAGATTGATTCTCTATTGTTAATGTTAGACTCTGTTAAAATAAGTTGTTTTCACTTTGAAGAACTGATGTCTCAGACTTCAAACGATCCAAACGGTTATCTCAGAACTGTATGAGCTATTGCCCAAACCCTCAACTGCTCTGCAACATTTGTTTTCACTGGATAGAATGTATTAGAGCCATACCTTATAATTTTACAGCTTTAAACATGAGGAAACAAAGCTAAGATATCATTCCGCCACCTCTTAAGTTGCTAACTCCGCTGATGACTTCTTTAGCAGCAACTACAGGTACTCCTTGACTTACAATTGTTCATTTGGTGACCAAAGTTACAACAGCACTGAATAAAAGTGACTTATGACCATTTTCCCTGCAGTTGTGACTACTGCAGCGTTCCCTTGGTCACGTGATTAAAATTCAGAAGTTTGGCAACTTCGATGGTTGCAATTTCCCAGGGTCATGTGGTCAACATGGGACTTTCTGAGTTTCAGAAGGGAAGCCAGATTCACGTAGCAAACTGTGCTACTAACTTAACGACTGCAGTGATTCACTGTAACAACTGCGGCAAGAAACGTTGTAAAATGCAGGCAGACTCCATTTAACAACTGTCTCACTTAGCAGCAGAAATTTTGGGCTCAACTGTGGTCGTAGATCAAGCACTACCTGTATAAACTGCTCGTGTTCAGATGAGACCTTTGTCCGGTATACAGACAGCCCACCTGAAGCATCCTTATTCACTCTAATGGACTGATGCTCTCACCTTCCACGGCTCTACCACAGTTCTGCCCCTCTCTCTCAAGAGCTCTTCCACCTATTGTCACACCTCTTCTGCTGGTCTTGGCCACATCAGGTTTTCGTGGTTTTTTCCTCTCTCCTCAGCTTCTGCTTCCTGTGTGCCAAGAACCCTCCCTCGCCTCCTTCCACAATCCCACAAAACTCACTTCACGTGGCTCGTTATCCGTCACTAATCTCAGCTCCGGTGCTATCTGTTGCCTCTCGCGCGCCTAATCGTATCGAAGATAAAACACAAACATGGAAACAAAAAGACAAGTTATCACGACATGCCTCTCAGTTGGATGACTCCCTTCACCAGCCTTCCGCAATTTCTTGCCCTCCCAAAGGCAACCGTTTTTAGGGAACAACAACAACCTGAGACCCGCAAAACTATTGCGGCCGAGATCGCGTTGGTACCATCCTCTGCCTTGTCTCTGCTGACAGTCAAGATTTAGTCAGCCAAGTTGAAGAAAGACTACCTCAGGGCTAGGAAGCAGACACATGTAAAACAACTGCTCGTCACTACAAATTATGGAACCTGCTATAATGTCTAAGACAGGCGTGTCAAACTCAAAAGCCCGTGGGCCAAATCTGGCCTGCACAGTGCCTTAGATCCGGCCCACGGAGCTGCCGTGGAAACGGCAAAGGACCAGCCCGTGGTGCCCTCCTGAGACGGCCTGCCCAAGCTCCGTTTTCGCTAGCAGAGGGTTGCAGGAGGCTGGCAGAGGCAAAAATGGAACTCGTGAGCCCATTTCCACTGGCAAAGCTCTTGGGCCACCACAAGCACCCATGACACAAGTGACATTGAGCTGGCCACGCCCCCCCACCCCACCCCAAGGTTAAACACAATCCTGATGTGGCCCTCAATGAAATCGAGTTTGACACCTCTGGTCTAAGATAAAGGAGATAAGTGTTAACACCTTTTTTTTTTTAACGCTGATTTGTGTGTAATTTTCCATTCATTACACAACACTAAACTGCCTGATATATCTGGAGCTCAAATAAGAATATCTACAGATTTTTTTTAAAAAAGAAACCTACCTTAAGTAAGCATGCGTTGTAAAGACTAAACAATCCCATGTGCACATGCACACACATACACTAAATATGTTTCGAAAATAAATTTCTATACCACTCACCATATTCTGCAGGATACAAATGTATCTAGTACATCTAGGCAAAAGTATATTTGACAGTTAATTAGCATATTCCATCTAAATGGAAAAAAAGTTAACTTCTCTTCTGAAAAATCTCACTGATTATGTTCATAGCTCCGGCTAAAATTCAGAGATAAAAGCCACACGTAGTTTCTTTGCAGCATAACAGTTGCTAAATGGCAAACTCTGTAGTCTTATTTCTATAATTTTGCAAATGTTAAATATTTTGTTATTTTAGAGATCTTGTGATTTGCCCCCAAAGCTTATAAAATGTCCCATATAGACTTTTCAAGTATGTGAATAAGCATTTTTACATTCATATTTTATTCTACAGGTAGTCCTCGACCTGTGACCACAGCTGAGCCCAAAATTTATGTTGCTAAGCGAGATAGTTAAGTGAATTTTGTCCCATTTTACGACCTTTCTTGCCACAGTTGTAAAGTGAATCACTGCAGTTGTTAAGTTAGCAAAATGGCTGCTAAGTGAACCTGGCTTTCCCACTGACGGTCGCAAAAGGTGATCACATGAGCCCGGGACACTACAACCGTCATAAATGAGTTAGTTGCCAAGCATTTGAATTTTGATTATGTGACTATGGAGAGGCTGCCACTGTTGGTGACTAATGTTAAAAATGGTCATAAGTCACTTTTTTTTCCCATGCCGTTGTAACTTTGAATAGTCACAAAATGAACTGTTGTAATGCAAGGACTGCCTGTATCATATTGTAGAACAGAAAGTCTTATGAGAGATTTTTCAGGTTAAGTGGCCCATTTCTAGATACGGTTTCCTGAATCAGTATGGGTTTTTTTCTGTACATTATACGCATTATACAGCTTTTCCCTTAAATTACATGGCGAATGGTGCGGTGGCTTAGAGGTAAAGCTCCCTCCTCACAAGCTGTGAGTTCGATCCTAGATAGAGGCAGATATTTCTCTCTCTGGGCCTACTGAGAATATATCTACTGAACAAAACCCCACCTTGGCGACCGGAAGGGCATCCGGCAATTAAACTCGCTCCATTCAGTTGCCCAGACTCAACCTCGCAAAAGATTATGGGATTATATTATGGGACTCCCCCTCGTTAAAAGATTATGATGATGATTACATTATATGTGGTATCAACCTTTTTTTTTAACTTATCAAGTGCAAGTAACCCTTTTTTCATTCCCTTCAAGCAACCCATTTCATATTTTAAACGATGTCGTGCTTGAAGATTGCAAAACTGTGTTATTGATAACCGCGTTATCATCAAGAAATAGTATCTGAGCTTCTAAGCCATTTTTAGAATCGTAAATTCGTGCCCTCTGGGGTAACACAGGATCTAACCCACCTAGCTATAATATTCCTCCTAGGGAGTGTGGTTTTCTTCCATTTCACACCTTAATGGGTTTGGATTTCTCTCAAAAAGTTACTTTTAGATCAGCTTTATTTTGACTTTTTTTTTTGCTGCTCTTCCTTTTTATACATCTAACCAGGCTAAGAGCATATAGGCAGTCCTCGACTTACAACAGTTCGTTTAGCGACTGATCAAAGTTAACAATGGCACTGAAAAAAGTGACTTAAAAAGGACTTAAGTCTATTCTATTTTATTCTATTCTAAATTCTAACTCTAACTCTACACTGTGAATATTTTTCAGGGTAAATAGCTGTCTCTTCTTATCTCTTTGGCAGAGCTTATAATAATCTTGTGGAAGTCAGAGTTTATTTCAGCAGTCATATGACACAATGCCATAAATCTTAAGAACACAATAAACTCTGCAAAGAAATACAGCTGGAAATACTAAGCCTCCAAGTGTTTTCTTTTAAAAAGCACGTGCCAAAACCTATCAACTCTGAAATACTCCAGGAAATTTCTTCTCTGCTACGTGCAAAGGCTTATCATGTAGCATAGGCATCCCGAACCCCCAGTTCGTGGCATGTCAGAAACCAGGCGCTGCAAACAAGCAAAGCCCCATCATCCGTGGGATGTAGGCATTACGCGAAACCACTCCCACACCGGTCTGCAGAAAATCCTCTCTCCATTGAACCGGTCACTGATGCCCAAAAGGTTGAGAGCCGCTGATGTAGCAGGAGGACATTTATCTCTCCGGTTTTTAGAAATGTTCTGACCGAAGCTTCCCAAGAGCATGAAGCAAACTCCTTGTCTTGACAAAAAAACCTTTGTATTAATATACTATGAATTCTGCTCATTCACATCCAGCAAAGTCTTTCAAGGGAGGATTTACAGTCACAGACCTTATCTGGCTTGGAGAGCTGACAGGACGATATCTACAAAATTTGGCAAGGAGTCTCGGAGAGTCACAAACCAATTAAGCGAATTGTCTCCTGCAAACTCCACTCCCCTTTCTCTCCTCTTTTATTCCCTCTGAGAGGGGCCATTCACCGTCCACTCACTCCCAAGTCGACCCCTGTTCTTTAGCTGTTCCCTTCGTCTGG